AACAAAATCACCTTCAAAACTCACAGTGCTGGCAGTGGTTACAACAAAGGTTAAAACTATGGAAAAGCAGAGTGAAGAGATGGATTATTTACGCAGACTTGAGACGTGAAAGTATCTGGAGTCACTTTGAGCAAGCACCAGTAGTTTCTAGATATAAAATATCAGAAATTCCCCAGTATGAGTTAGCAAATTATGACTATGTGGGTGTTTTGGGAAAAAGCACATTGTACTTCTAATGTTTTCTGAAAACAGGACAGCAAGCAAACTGCCCCTCCAAATAACATGCTCTCCACAAAACTGAAAAATCTGTAGAGGGAAAAATTGGAGAGGTAGTAATTTAGATATGGAGAGGACCAAATTCATAGGGCACAGGAAAATGACTGTAACTAAACCCCAAGGTCAGACTTAACTAGCCAGAAGAGTTGGCTCTTTCTATAAGCAATTATTTAAATGATCAGAAAATATAACTCTGTAAAAGAGTAACATAATCACTTTGTATGTGTTTTGTCAGTGAAGAAATAGCTTCAAGTGCCTTAACTAAGTGTGAAGCCTCACTCTTCATATCTCATTAGAGAATTTGGCTGCTATGAACCAACTTTAAACCACAGCAGGGCTATGAGATATGTTGCATTCAGATACAAACAATGAACCCAAGTTACTAACACACCTCCATTTTAGAAAAGCACAATATTGTTTGGCTTTATGAACACACGTAAATTGAAATTATACATTCATAATGCCTCTCTCTGGATCAGTGCAGTTTTATGACTTTAATCATGAGGAGAAGAATTAGCACATTAAATGCTCAAAATAGCTCCGTGCACACTGTCTGTAGAAAAATCACAAAATATGTAAATGAGTAAGACAAACTAACTCTAAGAACTGTATCTAAACCCCCATAAAGCTACATGACATTGGTGCTTTAATTTGATTACTTTCATTAAGATTAGACTGACCACTATTTTACATAGACAAAAGTACATTAAAATCATGGCTTAACTGAAAAAATAAATTAATAGGTATAGAGATCTATTATTCTTTTCTTCAAGAAATACATTTCCCTTCTATTTTATCCACTGCATTGAAAACATAGTTAACAACACTGATTTGCAAATTTCTTCCTAAACCCAAAGAGTAAGGAGATAATTTCTTTTATATTGATAATAAATAACACTTCCAAATTCCACAGGTTCTGTGAGAAACAGAAATAAAGCTTTCAGAAAGTAAAAGTAAGCTTCCATTACCAGATTTCAGGACTGACATTTCCCTTGTAAGGCAAGAAGCTGCAGAGATTTTGTTGAATTGCATAATAATGGCATCAACAGTGAAAATGCAAAATTCCTAACTAAAATCCTGGATAACAATGGAAAATAATGTCTTCTCTCATTTATTTTGTGTCAAATGCATTAATCATCTGCAAGATGAGAAAGCCTGTAAGATGAGAACACATTTTGAAAATCTGCAAAACATCTGTATAGATGGCAAATGAACAAACAAAATGAGTACCTGCACAAACCCCGGAGGTATAATATTTGCAGCAAAGTTCTTGTAGAGATACCAACTCTTAAATATCAGTTGGAATATAATACATTTGGCAACTGACTCCATCTTTTAAATTTAGTAACTTCTATGAAAATATTTCTCCCACATATATCTGAGAGAAAAAGAGACCAATTTTATACTATTTTAAATGTGATCCTTCTTTTTTCCAGTTTTTCAGAACATTCATTTTCACATGAGTTGTCCCTTTTGGAAGGGCCTCCTCCTGATGCTTTCAAACTGTTTTGACTTTGCACCTCAGCTTGTTCTTTCCTCCGATATCTCTAAGTATATGAGATTTTGCTTCACTTTTTTACCACAGTGTTAACATACTGATAGAACAATGATAGCAAAGTAGCTTTTTTTAACACATTCCTCTGAAGGCTAAAAGCGACACTATTAGAGATCATGTCCTTACTGCATAGATTTGTCATTATGTCAACCTACTGGATAGGGAAAATGTTTGGAAACACATAAGAAAGCACCACAGATTATCTAATGAACCTTTTCCAAATAGAGCTGCATTTTCATAATCTGTGTGCTTTTAATTATTGTTACCATTTAGCAATCAGACCACAGTCATCATTAAAACCAGTACTTTCAGGCCTCATTGCAGCCTCTAGTCAGACACCTGTATAAGTGACAGACACAGGTGCTCAGCAGTTCATTGCTCAGCAGTTCACTCATTCACTGTCTAGGACAGTCATTTCTTTACTTGAATATGGATTTAAAATGCTAAGATTTAGATCTAAAACTTCAATAATCTTCAATAATTAATATTATTTAATAATAATTCAACTTCTGTGAGGGTGACAGAGCACTGGAACAGGCTGCCCAGAGAGGTTGTGGAGTCTCCATCTCTGGAGACATTCAAAACCCGCCTGGATGCAGTCCTGTGCAACTTGCTTGAGGTGAACCTGCCTTGGGGGGTTGGACTAGATGATCTCCAGAGGTCCCTTCCAACCCCTATGATTTTGTGATAATAATGCCAATAAATATGAGGCAAATACTCAACTAAAAAATGGAGGGAGGGACAACAGGAATGTGTCCCTTTGCTGATTCCCTGAAACAGCTGGTCCTTACTGACTTCCACTGTGGTACCAGAAAACGAGCTAAAATCCAAGGGCATTTTTGTATTGATGCCAATAGGTGGTGGATCAGCTCTCAAGTCTTTCTCTTTCACACTCCAGGCTTTCCAAGCCCCTGTAGTACCATCAAACCAAGTTTGACAATTGGGTGAAGGGTCTCTCTGCAAGTGCTAAAGTTTGATGAGTCTGACATCCCTGTTCCAACATTAATAGTCCAGGTTCATAGAGTTCTATCTCCTACAAAAGACTCCTGTGTGTTTGTCCTCACTGAAACATAACTTGAGCTCATCGTTCAACAGTCATTAGTACCAGATCTGAGCAGTACTGAATTACAAAGCACTACAAACTTCATCTTGATCAACTGCAGACAAAGCATCTGTAAAACTATCCAGTGCGTCCAATGTAGAGAACATACCAAACTTCATGGTTTTGCACCAATTGTTGGGGAATGGAAAATACTTGATCTGATGTCAAGTGATGACAATGACACTTTGTTACTCATTAAAATTTTTTGAATAAAAGAACAAAGAGAATGACTTTATACCAAGTCAGTGTGTTTTGCTTCATGTGTCTGCAGCATTTTGATTCAGTATTAGGATCAAGGAGTTGGAGGTTGGGTACTGTTGAAGCATGGCCTGGATCAGAAGCTGATTCCTATTTTTGCACAAAACTGTTAAGTCAAGTGCACACTGGTGTTCTGAACAACTGAGATGGCCATCAGACATATGGATTCAGCACAATGCATCAGTGATTAGCAGTCATGCTGAAAATACAGTCAATACTTCTAACCAAAGGACTATTCATAATGTGACTTAAGCAGAATCTTCAGTCAAGTCAAAGGCAACTCTTTTCATTCTGAGATAAAATAATTACGTAAATCTAATGACTCACTGGCAATTTACATACATATCTTACAAGCTTTGTTAGCCAAATGTTGCTAAGAAGTAGCAGGAACATTTTTTGAATGTCCATTTCAGAAATGGCTATTGTGAGGCATTTTGATTCTTTTTCTCTTAGCAACAGAGGAAACAAACATACTGAATACTTGAGATAACTACAGATCTCAGACTTCATGTTAACATCACCTCTGAACAGATAAAACTGACATAAGAAATACCAAAAAGAGCTAAGTTGGAATTCTGAAATGTTCACTCCCAGGGAGAACAGCAAAACCAAAGCTACATAACCTTTAAAGTCTCCCTTGAGGGTTTCTAATAAAATTAGAATAAGAATCTTAACAGTGACATAATGTACATTAAATATTTATTTAAATACTTCAAATTAGTGTAACTGGGATAATTTTAACCATAATGTTTTCTATTATGCATACTGATTGCTTCCACTTTCTGCTTCTCTCACTTTAAAACAAAAAAATAGTCTGTTGTTTAATTTTCAGGATCTTACTGATGGCTGCAATAAAGCAATGAGTATTTCAGAACACTCATTTAGAATTTATTTTCCTGTAGACCTTTTCTGTTTTTCCTCAAAATTTAAATTATTATCTATGTATGAGACAATGTTGTCCATTTTACCAGTATTTAATTCAATTTATATTTGAAAGCAACAGTTCCTACTTCAAGTATTTTAAAGCTTTGCCAAATTCTTTTTTTTTTTTTTTTTTAAATTACAAAAATGTGGTCTTGTAAACACAGAGACCAGGCTTCTGAATAAAGCAAAGCAATTATGCAAGCTTTTTCCTGGTCTATGGGACTACTTTTAGTTAACTTTGTGAGTGCATTCCATCGCAGCTATGGAGGGATAGAGAAAACATGCTATTCTTCCCTTCATGTAACTTTCAACCTGTTTTAAGTATTTATTCTAAACATCCAGTAGAACACTGCCTGAATGCCTGGTAACTAATTTGCTAAGAAAATCCTTCCTGAGTGCCCTGGTATTCACAAGTACCTGTAAAACACTTCTTTTCTTGTGTGTTTGTATATAAATGTATAACTTCTTGTTGCACTTTTGAAAGGGAAGAGTTATTCCTTCCTCAGATTCAGATTAAAGCAAGATTAATCAAAAATTCTTGTTGTCTTTTTAAAAAAATATACCGTCTTGGGGATTTGAGGACGTCTGAGGATTTCAAGTAATACCAATCATATTTATTGTCTTCTTGTACAGCTGTAGAAGAGAATACTACATAAAAGTGAGGGATGACTGAGCAAAGGACTTTGCCAGTGTTTCATAGAAGAAAACTCAGAATTCATGAAGAAAGAGCTTCTATGGAATAGAAAAGGTTAAAAAAAGTTTAAGAGTGCAATACTTCCCTGTTCACAAACACCATCATACCAATACTTCAAATAGAAATTAAAACAAGTTTCATGCTAAGATACCAGAAACTGTGATTTATTTTCACAAAGATTTTATACTCACAATCTCATCTCCTGGCAACCAATATCCTTCTTGTTCAATACCAGCTTTTGACCCTTTACACCCCACCGTCAGGGTTTCAACAATAAGACCATCCTTGACTGCTAAACTCAGCTGACGTGTGGTTTCTTTTGGATGCATACCATGGACTCGAGACATATACCTGCAAACAAAACACATAAGTATTTAAGTGATAGTGTTAAACCATAAAAAGCATCAGAAAAAAATTCTCTTTTTCAACTGATTTGAAATAATACACAGTCTAAGTTTTATGTTGTTTTTAAAGCCTCAAAATTTATACAACTTCCTCCTTTACTCCAAATCACCTTTTATCCCCCTTGAAGTTATTACATACACACTTAGATAAGTAGTAGCACAGTAATCTTAAAAAAAAAATAAAAATCAGACCCCAAAACTAACACGCACATTGCTTGGACTTGTCTGCTAAACTTCCACATGCATTTATGCCCCTAAAGAGACTTCCATAAATTAACTGAAACTTGCATTTCTGTAATACTTCCTATAGCATACATACTATAGAATGAGTTGAGAGATGTGCCAATGAATCTATGTGATGCTTGTGAGTACAATAAATTATAAAAAAGGTGACATTTTTGCATCATAAATCAAACCCCAACAGCTAGAGCTATAGTATTAAATGTTTCTTCTCTTTTTCTTGAGATAACCACAATGATCACATTGCCATGAACTGCACTGGTGAGAACAAAACATATATAGCCTAAATTGTGTATATATATATGAGATCCAGTTGTATAATGTTGGCCTTTACCCAGTATAATTTACTTCTAGACCAACACCAAATATTAACTTGGAGTAAACAACATAATACGATCTTCCCTCAAACAAAGATGACCTCCCTGCTTTAAGATCATTACACTTCAGAATTTTTTAGCAGAATTCCAAGAACATATCCATGAGTCACTGCACTCGGAGAAGTGAAGAGAGCTGCAATCGCATGCAATCAACAGATAAGTTAATTGACTTGGAACCAATTGTTTTGTGGACTTATTTTTCTAGTTGTAGCTCTCTTACAGTTACAGGCTAACTGAATTTGTCTCCCTTTGTTTGGTTTCTTCAGGTCCTCTATCTTTACCTGTCTCCTAGGAGAGAAATCTATAATTTGCCTGTTTTAAGACAAAGCTGTCAGCTACAGTATGCTCTGTTTCATGCTTAATAATGAATTCTAGCATCTATGATCCTTTTGTGACTGTCATCATAAACACTGTCACCAAAAATATAATTATTTTTTATTAGGAGCAAACTTCAGAAAAATTTTAAAGCAATAGCATTACATTAAAAAAAAGAAGTTATATCAGTTCAGATATTTTTAATAACATAGTTGACAGGAACTCTGAATGCCTTAGAAGCTATAAACTTACAATAAGGGATGAATCAACCCCCCAATCAACACTTCTCTTTGAAGACATATGACTTTCAAAATTATTATTGCTTTGGATGCGTAAAGATCTTTTCCAATCCTGCATTCTCTCTCAAGCTTTTGCTGAGAACTGGTTTACCTTAATCTAGTATTTTTTGTTTTCCCTAAAGGAAACTAAATGCATATAATCATCTAGTAACTTTCTGATTGAGTAGAAGTTTAGATTTGTGTAGTAAATTAAGACAATAATCACAGCAACACAGGACAATTATAAATTTCTGCCTGTTATCAGCAGCATTTACACAAATGCAGCATGTTTGCAGGATCCTGGGGGTTTTTCAGGGTAAAAACTCTTAGAGGCAGATGCTGCCATTTACTATATTTTACAATGTCCACCACAACATGGTCCAACTCTGGATGGTTTTTGCATGCTACTGCTGCGTAAGAAGTTAAGTAATAAATGAGATTAACAGAGAAAGAACAAAATTCTGTCCAAGACTGTGATCCAAGCTAATATATTTGAATATTATGCTGGCTAGCAAAAAGGACTGAGGGCCAAGTAACGATTCAGAAGATAGGCCCACCAGTTCGGTTCTGTATCACACTGGGTGGATGTTCATCTGCCCAACCTGATTTCTCCCTGCTTCTGCAGAAACCAAAACTCAACATGAAAACCTACTGAAGTCATATAAACCAGTACAACTGAGTTTTCCAAGTTCTCCAGATTCCAAGGAGGGCTTAGGCAGAGGCTCAAATCTATTACTTCCCTTTCAAACAGAGCGCCAGTGAACAGCATTAGTATGCTGAGGCATAAAGTGCTGACACTTTAAAATTGCCAGGAATTGGGAACACAACTCATTTGTTTATATACTCGTGTTACATGTATTTCATGTGTGCGCACATATACCCACATTTATGCAAACACAACCAGCTTTTTAAAGTGCAAATTATCTTTGTCAACATTTGCTAACTTTATTGTTTTTTCAGTAAATTTCCATTTTAATGCTGTACTAACAACCTCCCCATCAGAGCCACAGCGTGCATATCTTCTGCAATTTTTTCAAGTCTTTAGTAGGTCTGAAAATACACAGCTTAGGTACTAACTATCATTCTTTCCATTTTACTGATAGAGCAAATCGGGCACTGAGCAAGGAAGTGTCTTCCCTACAGTTATACAGTAGGATGCTATGGTCTGAGAACAGAAATCAAGAATTAACCCAGTGCCATACCCTTCAGTGCATCTTGCTGAAGAAAACCTGTATTTTGCATTGCATCATCCATAGTTGCAGAAACATAGTCTAACAAAACTCCTAAATGCAAGCTACACATTTTGTGATTATTTCTCACTCACATCTCTGAACAGAACAGCTATATAATACAAACCAAAAAGCCTTAAGCCAACTGTAATCAGCTAAGAGCTTTAATCTGCCTATTTCGACTGTGGCGGGGTGTGCACTAGTGAAAAGGAGCACAAGGCTCAGAATCTCCCGTTTCTCTCAACCAGAGTGAAAGTATTGCCATCAACTAAACAATCTCCTCATTTTCTCCAGCTGTAAATCAGGAATAATAAATCCCCAGTGGCTTTTTGAAGAATACTTTAGTCAATGTTCAGATTGTGCAGAATGGAGATCCACAAAGGCTGTTTTCCATGTTTAAGGTAAAATGCTATCAGCTTTCCTAGGAAAGCACACACATGTAGAGAGAATGTTTTTACTCTACTTTTCCACAAGTGCCTCTTCCCCCTGAATTTTTACTTATATTAAAACCTGTGAAGTGTACGTGGCTAGATATTCACAAAGACTATAAAACAACACTGGCAGGATCTGGATGAAATCCTATCTTGTTTCCCTTCAGCCAGAAGTACAGCAGCTAAACTAAGAAGCTACTAAGGCACAGGATTTGAACCAGAAAAGATAGTTAAAGTTCTTTAATAATGATATGTGAAAAAATATTGTAACATGTGAAAGATGCTGGAAACACTAAATAAGTTAAACTCCAGCCTAGAGACAGAAAGCACGATGTCTGGAGTCCTAACTACCACATCAGACTCATTACTGGATCGGGGAAAAACAATATTGAAATGTCTTTGTACAGAAGTGACACCACTAATCCAGGGAGTGCGCCTTTTCCTGGCACTGTATGTACTGAAGCATCTGGCACCAAGAAGTTAAAAAACAAGTAAGAGAGAGAAAGCAATGCTCGATTGCTGTTTTCAACAGATGCTGATTAGCCTTACCTTGGAGACAGGCAGTTGAGGCAATACTGGTTTTGCCCAGTCCTCCATATGGACAGATTGGGAAGTGTAATACAATCCCTATATGGCTATTATATAGCCAGACACGAGAAGTAAAGTAAATATGCTTTCAAATGGGTGAGAATAAGCAAGGAAACAAAGTAAAATCCCCTAAGTCAGCAAACCAGCCCTAATCAGATAGGGGGCTGAAACAACCATTTCAAAATACAATTTAACTGTGCTAATCCCTACTATATAAAATGAGAGTCTGTCTGATGAAAAGAGGAGGTTTGGTCTGATAATCTGCATGTTAAATTCCAAATCTCACCAAATGAGGCTGCCTGTCTGCAGGACACAAGCAACTGAACTGCTGCTCAGTGTTACAGTATTTATAGGCCAGTATCTTCTCCATTTATAAAATGGCAGCATAAACCTCCTCGACATTAGCAAAGAAGAATCTAGCAAATCTAGCAAAATTACAGTTTTTGTAATCACCTTCTAAGAGCCTACTAAAGCGTGTTTTCAATTATGGCACCACCAGCTGGAAAGCAAAGGATAAGAATCTTTAGCACGTAGGTTGTTCATTACCACCCTTACACAAACCTCAGCATTGTCACACCATCAAATGTGTGTGTAAACGTGCTGATCTTCAGAAACAAGACACTACCAACAGAATCAGGTAAATGCATGTGTGCACATAGCTAACATATATGCATGCTTGTCTGACAGCAAAAGAAAACAATTAGAGGAGAACGGCAGAGTATAATCATTAATAGATTTGTAGATTGTATGTATGTGCACATGCTTATTTGTATTTAGTACACAAAACACCCATCAAAAAAATGTGAAACAACAATTCTAAATCTCTTTGGCACTGTAGATAAACAGTAGTCAGGTCTTTTCAAATTTAGCAGCAACAAAATATCATCATATTCTTCTGTTTATATACATTATTCCTGTTACCCATCCTAGAACCTTGACCACCTCTCAGACACCACAGGGACAAGCCAAAGGGGTCAGCACAGCTGGACGTGAGGACTCTCACAGGCCTCACAACACCCAGAAGCCACACAGCCATCCGCTGCACACCCCACCTGAGTCACGTTGCAATGATAAGGGAGGACTGATATGCATGGAAACCTGGCACATGCCCTTCCAGAGTCTCTTCTTCACAGCAACAAACTGCAGAAGCTCCTTTAACTCATGCCACTACTATGTGACAACTGGATCTTGCCACTTCCCTCTGCTAAACAAAACTGGACCACAGGAGTACCCTAATCCACCTTTAAACCACTTGCCTGACAAATATACGGGAGACATTATGGAAGCCCCAAAGTCTGTCAGTATGTGAGCAATTCACATCCAAAGCCTCAAAAAATTTTTCTCAAACTAGCCAGTTTTCACCATGTCTTTCTATTCAAAAGCTATGTGCTTCATAACGCACCTTAAAGCTCAAGAAAAAGGTTTGTTTTGATCAAAGGGGTGTGGAGGAAGCAGACTCTAAAGCTGCAATCACCATGGGAGCAA